ATATATATATATACACAAACAGCATATGTTGTTAAAAGTCTATCACTTGTAATGGCAGTGTGTTGTTCATTTCATATTGACTAACAACAAACAAACACCGCCCTATAGATGCGGGGCAATAATTCTATATTCCATATTGTGCTAAATGTCCTTCGATGGTGCTTTGAACATTTGTGCGTGTGGGAGTAAATTCCTATTTGATTGCCTATAATTGGTTGGCCTATCAACTGTTTTAGCATTATATAAGTTATAGCAATCCAAGTCGTAATTAATTGTGGAAAGGGTTGAATTAGCTGATAGGATGGGCGTTGTATGACTTGCATATATAGAATTTGCTGTTGAGATTGCTGTTGCTTCTGACAAGCGCGTCAAGGACTTGGTAGCCCCTTTTAACGAATTGATTGTAGATAAGCCTGTATAAAAAAATGCATTGCATTATTATATAATTTATTTAATTTAAAATTTTTTTCCACATTACATTCAGATCTGTTGGCAGATGCATGATTTCATAATGAAGATGGATATCCACGCCTATCCAACGTGTCATCTGAAGGTAATTCCGAACATTTTACGCTCGTTTTGCTTATAATATCGGTCAATAGATCAACAGGCAATGCAGTATTACTAACTGGTGATGATGCTGAAACAGACAGATGGTTGCTGCCATTTTTGAAATCAGGAATACCAAATCCAACATGATTAGCTCGGCCACTGCAATTGCTATTGTCTCTTTCAGAGGCGGCTGATTCTTCTGTTGACACAGTTTCATTGCCACAGCTCGTTTTTATGCCTTAAAGAAAGTAAAATGTGAATGATTAACATCCCACAAATTCGGATTGGATTAATGCCATGGGCGTAATGCCAATGTTGAATGCATTAATTTAATGTTATACGAAAGGCACAACATTAACTACAGTAGGCGTAGTTTCCAAAATTTACCTGTCACTGGTGATTGGTCACCACTAATACCACTAATACTACTTCCTCCAGCGTGTCCGCCCCCAGCGCTACTGGATCCATCTCCCGTGCCGCCGCTGGTGCTGCTTGGTGGTCTAGGCAAACGACGACGCAACCATGGATGCTTTAGGGCTTCAGAAGGTGTTAATCTCTTTTCTGTATCCCATTCCAAACAGCCACGAATAAAGTTTAGAAAAAGCGGGTCTTTGCAACCGTCCAATGCCTTTGACAGGCTCTTAGAGCATGGTGGACCACGTGGTTTGCCACGTCGTGATTGACCACCAACTAAAACGACCATTCCATCGGGCATAGTGCGGACAGTACAGTAACGGGGATACCCCTTTGGGCTAAAGAACGTCTTCGTTCGTTTTGCGTTTGCCAATAAAGTTTTGCTTGGCATTCCAAGCACTTCTATAATGCAGGCCAACTGATCACTTTCATTTTCTCCAGGGAATAATGCATGCCCCGATAGTAGCTCCGCAAGAATGCAACCAAGAGACCACATATCAATCGCTCTACCATACTTTGCGCCCAAAATGACTTCTGGCGCGCGATAAAATCTTGACTGTATGTACGTGTAAACACGTTGACTTTCAAAGCATGATGATCCAAAGTCGATAACCTATAAAATATTCAACATATATTGATCGCAAACCGAAGGAAACTAGTTTACTTTTTACCTTAATACCAGAACGACCTTGTTGCTTCAGTAACACATTCTCCGGCTTCATATCACAATGAATAATCTCATTTTTGTAAAGTGCATCCAGGCATTGGAGTAGAGAGTGAGCAAATTTACGCACCAATTGTAAACTGAAACCCTTAAATCCATTTTTTTTAATCAATTCATAAAGATTAATGCTCAGCAACTCGAATGTGATGCATGTGTGATTCCGAAAGGCAAAATAATCATACATATGTATAATATTCATTGTGTTGTACATGTCGTGGCGCCTTAAATGATGTAATATACGAATCTCTTCTTGAGCCTGACGGTGAAAACGCTTCTCGTTTCGCACTATTTTTAATGCCACATGCTCATGGGTCTTATGATCGTAGGCTTTAATTACTTGACCAAAGCTACCTTTGCCGATTATTTTCAACATTTCATAGCGATAGGCAACGTGATCATGAGGAATATGTATATATGCGCCCTGTTCATTATCATAATCTGAATTGTTTGGTCCATAAATACCCGGGCGTTTTTTCGCGTTGGCGCCAATAAAATATATCTGCGGATAGGCTAAGATTTCGGTCCGTTCATATGGCGTCAGCTTATGCATATATAGGATCATAACTTGCTGCGGCGATACAACCAAAGGCTTTGGCTTGTCCTGAAGTGCGCTCTTCTGCTGACCCGACATTGTGATTTGTTCATGAAAAGTGAAATGTTCGTTGGCCGATGGTACAACAGACCTCTGATGCTGCGATACCAAAGCTAGTGAGTCAACAGTTGCTGCATTTAGAGATAAATCTTTTCGTGGCGATATTGGCGATGATTCCACTTTCGGTGTGACAATTGCGCTCGGCATAGAACTCGCTAAGATGTATAACCAAATGTAAAGAGAATTGGATATTAATATTATTCGGAAAGTTCCTGTACATTTTTATACTGCTATTTACAAATATTAATTTAAATTAAGATTGAGAATGCTAAAGCCATATGTCTCTTTGGGCATACAAATAAACTTATGCACTCAATAGGAAATCGCTAATATACAATTTGGTTCCGTGTTTTTATACCCTGAACCCATTGAAATGGGAAATCAGGGTATAATGGTTTTGTTGAAATGTATAGAATAGGCAGAAGGAGGCGTGGCAGACCCCACAAAGTATGTATATTCTTGAGCAGGGCGACGAGCTGAGTCGATTTGGCCCTGTCCGTCTGTCTGTCCGTCCATCCCTCCGTCCGTCCGTATGTATGAACGCGTCGATCTCAGAAGATATAAGAGCTAGAGACTTGAAATATTTTTTCCTAGGTCCGTGTATATCACGCGCATATCAAGTTTTTTTTTATATATCGATAGCTACTCCCGATATATTAATTATTAAAAACCTTATCGAAAGCTAGTTATTTAATTATATCTCCTACACCTTTGGAGCAAGAGCTTCCACAGTTTTAATGTAGACTTATATGTATTTTATATAATTTCGATTTTTGTTGTAATTTACCCCCNTCACCTTTGTAAAAGGCGTATTTCAAGTACTAGAGACGTGTGCTTTGGAATGTACATACATTTTCACCATATGATTACGCCCTGAAAGTTTCATTAAGATTGTACGTCAAGAAATTAAATTATTCAACAAATAAATTCTCATAATATTACCCACACTGCAGTGCAGCCCAAGCGCAGTCGCTGCTTACTGCGCAGTTCTGCGCGTTCTAATACGTGCATGTGTATGTATGTGTGTCGAAAAGAAGTGCAGAATGATTAGAATATCAGCTTGGAAGGTTCAGGGTATCTCCTAGTCGAGCAGTCTCGACTAGAGCCTTCTTACTTGTTGGTTTTCAAAATGTGTATATGGGTATGGGGTTCGAAAATTGTTAAAAAAGCAATGCTCATACCTTGAGTAGTTTTTGAGACTCCACAAGCATCGAGGCCCAAACTATCGGAAATATAATTGCATAGCTGCTCTTGTGGAATCGGCGGTTGTTTCGCTGGTTGTTTACGATCCTGAAATATCCGATCTGATCCGTAACTACTATTGAAATTGAATAGAACTGCCGTACAGGAATGATGTGATAAGCTACTCGGATGCATTTGAACGCTGGCACTTCCCCCTACCCTACCGGCGGCTGGTTGGCTTTGTGACATAGTCATTGTAAGCATTGCGGGTGAGACGGGCTTTCCGATTTGTATATCAATGGCAGGTGCCTCCAAGTCACCTGTAAAGGTGCTCGCATCTCGAATAGCGTCCGTTGTTGACAATTGAGAATTATTTTTAGTCTGTTGCTGTGTGCCAACCATATTATTATTGAGCTGTATATTATAATCGAAATGATCCAACGAGCTTTTTAAACTATTGTACGTGTTATTATTATTGTTTTCACAATTTTCCCCTGTTACGCTTTGGTTATCGATTACAGTTGCAGTTGTTGCTGATACCTCAGCAACTACTTCGCCATTATATTCATATTGTTGTCTTTTATTTAGATCAATACTATTTAAAGTGCAGCCGAGCTGCAGCATGGAGCATAGTGCTGTTGTTTCCTGTGAAGGAAATTTTTGTGACAGGGGTCCGAGGTTTTCCTGGGAGTCAGTAGAATTAATCGGTTGCTGCGCTTGTTGCGATCTGTATGATGACAATGACATTACTAAATGAACTGAGCTCGCTGGCAACGAATGCGAAAGAGATTGGTATCCTTGACTTAAAGTATTTTCAATGTCGTGACAAGGTATGTCCTCCAGGGATTTAAATGCCGTACCATACCGATCACTATGTGTTGAAGAATCATCAATGGATGATGATTGGCTTTGAATTGAAGCTTGACGCTTTAGATGCCTGCGAGCTGTATAAGATTTGTCTAACGGTAGATTAATGCAGTGGTCGCTATTATAATCTACATCCTCGTTACTTTCGAGATTTAGCGCAGATTCATATGATTTACTTTTTGTATCTGATAATAATTTTTGCATTTGCTTATGTTTTCGCTCCGAACTTCCATTTCTTTCGTGCAGTAGTCTGGTAGCATTAGTCTCTAACAAGGATTTTTGTCTGGTAATGACATCAATTAGTACCGATGGCGTTGTTAAACAAAATAAATTGATTTCCAACGGCGATGACCAACCAATGTTTCGTAGCCAAATGCACTTCTTTATGGCATTAGTTTGAATCTGAGTCTGATTTTTCAGCGATTTTGAGGATCGTGTCACAGATAAATGGCTAACATATTCCCTATCGTCACTTTGGGAAGCTCTAGTCAATTTATGACGCCTGTTTTCTAATTGTTCTTCTTGTTTTTCTTTGTTAAGGTAAATTCTAAAATTTTGATTATTTTTATCAATTGTAAATTCGGTTAACGTTGGTGTCTGAGATGAACAAAGAACTGATCTGAATGCAGTCCGTGGATTGCGATAGTTGCTATAATTATCCGCAGTTGAAATATTTGATCTACTCAATAACTGGCCTTTTGGAGGGTATTTTAAAGGAATATCCGTAGGGAACCTCTTAGATGAGCTGGCAGCGTCCTTTCTACTTGACAACCCAGGGAGAATTTCCAGACAATTTTTATTCTCTTGAGGGTCCGAGTCTCTATTGATTTGCCGTCCACAAAGACCGCTTAAAATATTAAAACTAAACACATTTTTAAGCGAATTCTGGTCTTTGCTTCGAAATGAGCACTCTTCTAGGCTTTTACTTCTCTTTGTTACAGTTAAGTTATTCTGACACTCACTTTGTTCCCACATCCAACAATAATAAAAGTCTGTGCGTGCTTAGTGATACTTTGTTGCTGCTGCTTCTACGGTTACTGCGCCTATTATTCATTGTGGTTAGCATTATTAAATAATTGGTAAATTTGCATTGTTCTTAAGTATTATTGCTGATTTTAAAAGAACTTTCAGCATTTAAATATGCATTTCCGTTCTAAACTTATCCACAGCGGGATCTGAAACAAATGACACGGAGTACGAACATACGTACGAATGCAACTTCTGCTTACAATAAAACAATACTAATTCATACTTGCGTGTAAATGTATCGATATATCATCAAATCAACATCGATATATGTATATGTGTAGATACATATGGAATGAGCGCATACATGCAGAAGCAAATAGATACATACACATCTGTATGACAGTGAATCTAGCGCTGAATATTACAGGATATACAAATATCCCATACACATGAATTTTTTTAACGTAATCTATAATTCTTTGAACATTTACAATTCAATACAATGCAAACTCAATACATTTATTGTAAAATGTCAATAATAGGAAACAGTGTGGCCGAAGGAAAACACTCAGATTTTCACTCACGATTCTAGCGTTGCCACCGCTTTGATTGGCCATATTAATCGTCAGTATTAATCGTTAATTTAGGTAAAATAACATATATTGTAAAAAAAAAAAAAAAAAAAAAAAATGAAGTAAAGAAAAAAACAGGGCATTATGAAAAACAATAAGTACATTGGTACGATATTACGACCGTATCTTTCGACATTTTTTGAATTGTGCTTTCTGATGTAAATGCAGATGTATTTCATCAAGAGCTTATATATCGATAGCTCGATAGTGACAGTTAATATTAAGAATACTTAGCGTAAGCAATCGAGAAAATGCTTAAAAGTTTTTAACGTGTACTTATAAAACATGCCTAATCCTTTACTAATAACTTTTAAGCTCGTATAGTAGCTAAGAAAAAGGTTTTGAAAATTCAAAGGGAATAGAATGGGCAACCATGTTTTGTAATTTGCACATTACTGTTGGCAACATCGATAAAAACCACCCCAAACCTTTAAATCTTTTTTAGGGGCTGTGCGCCTTTAATAAAAATTAAAAGTAAACTAGGTTTAAAGCTATGTGTTAATTAAGGCAGATATTTTTAAAATTGTAAGTGCATATTATTTATAATTTGTAAAATTCAAGTGTGTTCTAAGTTACCGTACTGGAAAAATGACGCAAATGTGTATACGTTCAAGCATATATATATAGTTTTTTTTATAAATGAACACTAAACAATCGCGTTTAACTAACAAAAGCGGATATTAAAATACATATTTAATATACATATATTAATATCCGCTTTTGTTAGTTAAATGAGATTGTTTAGTGTTCATTTATAAAAAAAAAAAAAAAACATTTATCAGTAGCATGTGTGTTTCCCATTGATTCATATAAACCGTCGGTGAATCATCAGTCCCCAAGCTCTCTTACACTTTCCACCCTTATTAGTAACACATGGCTAAAACTGGTTCAAGGTGGGATGAGGTTGAGACTCTGTGTAACCATCTCATTCTCTCAATGTATTCAACGCTCTGTCATATACATACATATGTATGTATATACATATATACATGGTAAACATGTTTCTTAACGAGCCCAAATAATAAACCCACATGACGAAGCTCACGTTATATGCATTGCATGTAAATATGCCATGATTGCTGTTTAACATTAAGAGGAATATTTTATACTCGAGACCCAATTAAAATTGTGACTTTCGGAATTTTATGTTTTTGTGCAAATGTATGTACACATATGTATGTATGTGTAAATTTCTACCAATGTTTATATTTTTAATAAATGAAAGTGAACAAAAATTTATAGCTGTGTTAAAAAAAAAAAAAAAAAAACAATACAGCAAACTGCAGTATGATCTTCAAGTGTGGCAATACTCTTTTTGCTCCCTAAGTTTTATGTAGGTATGTATGTACATATGTACATACATACATATGCGAAAATGCAACCCATATTTTTCATTGTCGATAAACTGTTGCATATATTAATTTATGTATATGTTGTTTTTTCATTAAAAAAGTATCTTTAATACGAATAATAATTAACTATCTGTGAATGTAGGATAATCTGCGCAGTAAGCGGTTAGTTTGCTTATAATTGCGTACATACATATGTATGTATGTATGTTATGTTTGTGTATACAAGTGGCGTAAAACTATTAAAATAGGCTTTTGGGCTGGGTATCAGTTAACCGAACACTTCCGATCAGAACACTTACATATGTTGTTCTATTTTTTATTTTTTATTTATTTTTTTTTATTGTCTTAATAATGTGAATAATGTAAGTTCGGGTATCCTGGATGGATTCGCGTGTCCATAGAGCTCGCTCCAAAATATGTACATACATATATATATCTTTATATTCGTGATTAACTATTTTATAGGCCCCTATTTAAAAAGGTTTAACTGAGGAACGCTTCCTAATTGGCCATGATAGACCCAAGCTCAAGCGAAGAAGAGGGAGATGAAGAACCCGTTGTCAACTTACCCAATAAAGGCCGTATTGGAGCTACACATAAAACAGTCACCCCCGTTGCTGGGGCTTCTGCGCCAAGCCAACCGGCCATAACTTCAACATCTGGACCAAATAATTTCCAGAATGGTGACTTTCCAGTCAATCAAAGACCATCAAGTTTTACTGCTGGCAATTCTCGCGTTGACGGCACAAATGGAGGCGGTGGCGGAGGAGGAGTTGGAGGGGGAGCAATGCAGTCAAAAAATGATCAACCCCAACCTGGAATAGATGGAAGCAGTCTTGAGGTACCCAATAATGGAATTCCAAGGTTTGTATCAGCATAATATCATAATTGATATTTTTTTAATGTTTAAATAAGATAGAGCAGTGTAGTAGGGTGCGATTGAGCAATATGCACCTGCACGTGCGAGAAGGAGCAAAATTGAAAGTACAAGCACAAGCACAAGAAATGCTCAACAATAATTCGCCTGTCAAATAGACATAGCTACGCACCTTTAAAACCGTTATCTGGCGCTGCTATACAATTGAAATTTTGCAATTTTAAGTACAGGTATCCTTCGTACAACGCGATAGTTACGTTCCAGAAGAATTGCGCGTTACGTAATTCCGCGTTACCTAAAACATAGTATTCATATAAATTTGGGGGTTATGTTCCAATAGGATTTTCTTTAAATTAAATACATACAAAATAACATATGCACATATATTTCAACTCAATACTAAAGTTTAGACTTTCTTATACAATATAATACATATGTACATACATATTTCAAAATTCAAAAAACATAATTTAAATAATTATGTGCACATTAACTTATTTAAAAATAAACCTAAACAAATTAAAGGTTTGTTAAACACTTTATTGTTATTCTTCAAACTTCTTATGGTAATTAATCTGTTTCACTGTCGTCAAAGATCTTTGCACGTTATAATTACGTATTTTCCCTTTCGCGTTATACATACTTAAACCTAATTATTCCAAATCGCTTTACATCGAAACCGCGTTGTATAAGACCGCGTTATACAAGGCATACCTGTATATACATCCATATTGAACGAATAGTGTAAATGCATTGTTTTTCCGATTAATAGTGATTAATTTTCTGATAATTTCTGAAATGTATATTTGATATGTGGGTTTATTCATCAGCATTCTGGAGACAAATTTTTTAACGAGAAAACTTACTATTCTGCGAAATTTCCGAAGTACTCTGAATATTAATATTATAATTTTTCGGCAATTTAATGATTGTAATGATTATGATATGGTTTAAATTATCTCTTTTATTTTTATTGTAAATCTAACATTTTTTAATATATACATATATACTTTTTTTTTGTTCTGCGCTCATCAAAATCTTAAAAAAAAAAAAAAAAAAAACAACCTTGCACATGCTTTGTCAACACAAATTACATATAATTGGGCACATGGGCACAAATAAAAATAAAAAATTCAACCATTGTTGAGTGGATGATTTGCATTTGGGACTCCATTGGCAACTAATACTTGACATATGCATATAAAAAAAAAAAAAAAAAAAAAAAAAAAAAAATATACAAAACATCCATATCGACCATCGGTTGATTAATTGGCATAATAATTTTGGGGCGCATAGAGCGAGACCAGGCCATAAGATTATAATACACAAATTAAGCCCGGCAGGTCATCATCATCATCAACAGCAAAGTCAACACCATTATGATTATCAGCATCATCATGATAAATATCAAAATGAACTCTCATCATACACGCATCCAAATTTCCTTGGCCAAAAATCTGTTTCTGTTGCTGGTGCTTGTAATCTATCAAGAATTAAAGCTTCTGCGCACCGTTTAAGCACCACCACAAACACCAACAGCAACNAACCTTGCACATGCTTTGTCAACACAAATTACATATAATTGGGCACATGGGCACAAATAAAAATAAAAAATTCAACCATTGTTGAGTGGATGATTTGCATTTGGGACTCCATTGGCAACTAATACTTGACATATGCATATAAAAAAAAAAAAAAAAAAAAAAAACAAAAAATATACAAAACATCCATATCGACCATCGGTTGATTAATTGGCATAATAATTTTGGGGCGCATAGAGCGAGACCAGGCCATAAGATTATAATACACAAATTAAGCCCGGCAGSTCATCATCATCATCAACAGCAAAGTCAACACCATTATGATTATCAGCATCATCATGATAAATATCAAAATGAACTCTCATCATACACGCATCCAAATTTCCTTGGCCAAAAATCTGTTTCTGTTGCTGGTGCTTGTAATCTATCAAGAATTAAAGCTTCTGCGCACCGTTTAAGCACCACCACAAACACCAACAGCAACAGAAATAACAGCAGAAAATTCAACAACGGTTGCTCGAACATTGACCGATCATTTCAAAAGGTAAACTCGCATAAAAGTAATAATAATCAAACGTTGCTATCGTCGTCTAGTGGCATTTCGCAAGAGACTCTTAATCAAAGTGTTGGTGGATCATCGCGTGCGAATTCTCTACCACGCCCACTTTCTCCATCCCCATCAATTGCCAGCGATAAGCATGACCATGGTGATCCGCATGTAAGTTCCATTCCTAACAAATAATCATCTAATTATTCTTAGATCAAATCGGCTTAGGATTCTAATTTTATCTAATATTTTGTACAGGAAAAGCACGAGCGTGAGGAAGAGGAACGTAAGCGACGCATTCAACTGTATGTGTTTATATCCAGATGCATATCATACCCGTTTAATGCAAAACAGCCCACGGATATGACGAAAAGGCAACCGAAAATAACCAAACAGCAATTAGAGATAATCACACAAAGATTTCAGGTAACTTTTAAATGACATTAAAACTATTTATATAATAATGTATTTATATTCGTCATAATGCAAAATGATATTTTATTCTAAATTTGTACTTAAATTTGTAGTATAAAAACCAACCCATTAAGGTCTGGTTTTCCATGAGTTCAGGGTATAAATATTTGAATTTGCTTGTCAAAGGCAGAAGTGAAAATTACCTTTGCGGAAAAATAAATAATGCCACTCGCGTTGGCGTAATGTCTAAACAGTCAACAAAGAGACCGACCTTACATGCAATTGACTTTGCAATGGCACCAAAATTAAAGAAGTAAGGGTGTTCTAGTCGAGACTGCTCGACTAGGAGATACGCTAAACCCTGCTAGCTGATATTTAATCATTCTGCATTTATTGTATGCACACATGCATACACACGCATCCACGTGCATGCATAAGCTCGCGCTCTGCTAACTGCGCAGAAAGCAGCGACTGCGCTTGGGCTGCAATGTGTGCAATATTATGAGAATTTATATGTTACCTAAGATAGTCGACACCCAACTTAATGTTGATAACACAAACTATTACGCGCAGCTATAAACTTTACCGCAGTCGTGCGGAGACAGTAAACACAATACTAAAGATGCTAGGGAATTAGAATAAATGTTCGGACCACACAAATCGAACGACCCCAGCTGCCCTAGTAGGATTAATTCTGTATTCGTTCATGGTCCATGGTTCATGGTTAAGTCAATGGATCTATAACAGAAACAACGAGCAACAACTGGGTGTCGTCAACTTTGTGGACAGAAGAGCTCAAAGAATAAAGGTTCACATTGAAGAGGTGCTGGCCAACATTGAGTTCAGCAACCAGCAAGAAATCTTTAGCTATAAAGATATGCTAGATTTATTCTGGAATAAAGTCCAGTCTACAACGAACAGATTTGGAGGTGAAGATATTAAGCCAACCCACGAAAGTGGGATTTCAACCCGCCTGAAAGGCAGAATGTTCATGAATGTTGAAGTAATTAGGCTCAGCAATGGTCTATTGATTATTCTTATCTTGTAAGGCTCAGCTGTCTTGTCTGTTACATATTTTTATACCCTGAACCCATTTTCAATGGGAAATCAGGGTATAATGGTTTTGTTGAAATGTATGTAACAGGCAGAAGGGGGCGTGGCAGACCCCACAAAGTATATATATTCTTGATCAAGGCGACGAGCTGAGTTGATTTGGCTCCCTCCGTCTGTCTGTCTGTCCGCCTGTCCGTATGTTTGAATTTTTTATTTTAATGACCGTATATACAGCGCGGATGTCGAGTTTGCTTTTAAAATTCGATAAATCAWCCCGTTATGTWTTTATCGAATAAAAACATTCAAGTTCAAGTCAGATGCCACTATAGCTAATTGTGAATGATTTTTCATTTTTTTAAATTTCTCAAATATTCAATATAATATGTAGATCATAAGCTGAAAGTTTCATTAAATTCCGTTCAGT